TATATATATATATACATACATACATACATACATAGGGAGACAACTGTGGGTAGCGCGGGTCACATTGACAGGTCAGACATGGTTGTGGAGTGGCGATTCTTTTGGACATAGGTTGATACTTGCGCGGTGTGGGTCCAGTGGAATATACCATCAGCCTCTTCATAGGCCACCAATTGGTAGTGCGTTTCTTGGTCCCCGTCTCTGTATAGTGATGCTCATAATTAAAATAATAATAATAATAATATATTACTAATATTAATTATAATATTAATAATAGGGGCTTTTACTTGCATAGTTTTACGTATTTACATATCTAGCACTTCCACTTTCATATTTACCTGCATAACACTCAAATGTTTAATCTCACATTAAAAATATGAATATAATTGATACTTGCTTGAATATTCGCAGTAGTAGAGTAATATATTATTGTCTTAGAGTTACACGAAGATTCAACACACACTCAGATAAAAGAAAACAACGACTAGAGGCATTAAAAGTTTGTACGTGAAAAAAACGTTAAAAAAAATACCGGGTCTGATTATAGAGACCTCATTGTTCCATAGGAAGGAAAATGCTACAAAATCTTATTAATTACAACGTCGACGTGCAGATGAACTTGTTGCTCTATTTATAGTTATGGGTACAATTAATGAAAGAATACGAATCACACTGATCGGATAACTCAGAGAGATTCTCTCGATTAGACAACATTTGATGGACATTTAACGACCATATTGATGTCAGAATTGCGTGACCTTGGGCTTGATGAGTTTGTTTTGTGAAGATGCTTGATTCAACTATAAGCTCTCTGAATTCAACATCCATTTGACATTTCAAATGCGTCCAGAAAGCTTTCAAAAACAGTTTAATGACTTGATCGGGACTTGACTTGACTTGGATTGGACCCATTTTGGTATCATTAGGTCTATTTTATCAAACTGGTCAGCTTGACTATAATTTTATTGAAATCTGAGTCATGATTGACATTTAATTTATGTTTGAGTGTTTCTCACTCCAAAAGTTGCCTCCAAATTAGTGCGGGGTTGTATCAATTATTAACTTTTTCTAAATAAAATTTATATTTTCAAGTGTAAATTTATAGCACTAAAATGTTATAAATATAAATATAAAATTTAAAGTGTCAAGTATGTAAATAGGAATGAATGGAGTAGTATATACATATATAAATTCCACTTGAATCAAGGTGATAATTTAACGTTTCAGTAATATACGAAAAATAAAACAAACATAAATGATTGAAAAGTGGCACAAAAAGACACGAGAAATTTTTATGTTGAAAAATCAAGAAAGGAAAAAAATCACGGGTCTAGCTCATACAAAACATTTCTGACCGTAAATTGTAAGGAAATGATTACAATCTAGACCAAGTATAACATTTGTTCGTGCACAATGTACAAAACGCATGTCCTCTGAATCATGCATCTATGTTTTGAATATTTCTTTCAACGGGTTTGATATTATAAGATTATTTATTAAAGGTATTAATTTATATTTTTAATTTTATAAGATAATAGCTATTATAATAAAAAAAATTATCTGATAAATATTCTATAATACCCTAGACATTTTTAATATTTTTTTTATAAGCGATTTAGAGTTAATGCATCTTAAATTATTATTTTTTTATGAAGAAGACCAAATCCAATAATAAGAAGTTCTGAACAAAATTTTTATTGAAAAGACCAAATCCAATAATAAGAAGTTCTGAACAAAATTCTTATTTTTGCTAATTCAAAATTAACCAAAAAACAAAAAAAAAATTCAAGATTAAATATTTGTTAAACCGAATTAATTAAACATTATAATCATTTTAAAAAAACAAACGGCATACAAATTATTAAATATACTAGAATTTATGTGAACTATTTCAATAAAATTGACAGTTGACAATAATTCGAGACGAACGTTTGGAAGAAGACAATGTGAGCGACCAACGGGGGCGAATATTATGTTCGGTGATATTGGTGAATGACTTGATCATACAATGAGTGATGTTGTGTATCAAATTATTAGAACTCGAGGATCTGATCCATCATCGTTGATCGCTGATTCGAGTCATGAGATGAGTAACGAAGAGTAACCTTATTTGGACGCGAAAATATGATTGATCAATTAAGATTGAACGACCAGAAATGCGAAGAAATTTAGAACATGAAAAACCCTAGAGA